GGCCTTGCTGGCTGCGGTCTGGCATTGGTGGCTCATGTTCATCTTGGAGTCAATAATGACTCCGAGATCCCTTTCCGCCTCTGTGCTTTCAAGAGGGGAACTCCCCAGCCTGTATGTATGCTGTTTGCAGAATCTGATTTTTGTAATTGGATGTGCAGTGAAAAAACTAGAGATTTACTTTCCTGGAGCTTCCAGAAGAAGCTGAGGGGCTGCTCTTCTTTCATTAGACTTCAGTATAACCACTCTAGTGTGCATATGTAGGTGGTGGATGTGCTGAAATACTTTAAATCAATGGTCTCCAACCTTTTTATGGTGAAGATCACTTTTTGTAAGTAAAGAGCACCCCAGGATCTACTGCCTCTCTCCCCCACCTCTTGGACAAGCTGCCCGGGCTCTGACCCCACTCACCCAGCCCGGCCTGGGCAGCAGGGGCGTGGCAGCCCAGCCATGTGCGTCCTGCTGCTCCTGATTGTGGAGCGTCTGACAGACTGAGATTGACTGGTTGGTGACCACTGCTTTAAATACTGACCTGAGGATATAGTTCCTTCGTAGGACGTATTGCTTGCTTGGTGGTGAAATAAAGAAATCTTGACATAAAGAAGTTGCTAACAAATTATACTAGAATTGTGTTCTGCAGTCAAAGTATATATTTTCTGCTTTAAACCAGCTGACCATGGGATGGCTAGGTTTTAATACCTTTTGGATGTACTTTCCATCAGCTGTTGACGGAACTACCAGTGAAAGTAAACAGGTTGTTAAGGTGAATTGGAAATTTGAACACCAGTTACTCTCCCATCGTTGGCCTCCATCATCCTAAGTTTTTGAGTAGTGAAATGCTATGTCTACACGTATTGCATTTTAAGTCCATGACAAACGGTCCTCAAACAATTTCCACAAGAAAAAGGTAAGGATGTAGGAACATGTTAGTAATTATGAGCATGTGCAACAGAACACTGAACAACTGCATTAAGACTGACCCCTGGACAATTATGACAACATGCAAGTGATTGGTAAACACAACTGGAAATGCATTATAATAGAGACAGCACATTGTAAAGAACCTTGTTCATAACTGAAGTTTTTTTTTCTTGTCCAAGAACTCAGAAATAGCCAGAGATTTCCTGATCAAAAACAAGCAGGAACTGCTTATAGAACTTTGAATGGAAGAAACTGCACTGCAGAAACAATGCAAGTCTGATTTGGACACACAGTAGATTGGCTATTCAGTGTTCTACTGCAGGGTTTGTCAACCTATGGCTTGCGGGCCAGATCCAGCATATGAAGTCTAATATTGTCCATGACTTAATAATGGTACACCAATCCCCTACTTTTACTTTGGTTGGCCTTGCTTTTTGCAGAGGGCTGCTCTTTTGCCCCTTGTATGCCCTGCCATCTCTGCTTGCTGTTGCTGCTGAATCAACCTCTCCAAGTTGTCGCTTACCATGTTTTTTGGCAATGGCTGCATTAGGGGTAAGAGCTGCCTTCTGTACACATTGGGGGCGGCTGGGGCAGCAGCAGGGGATTGGTTGTTTATGGCAGTTGCTGTACTGCAAGCTGTGGCAAACTGCTAGTAAAAGATTGCTAGTCTCTTCTACTGCATTGCTTTTGATTTTATTAGAATGAACAATGCCTAAAAAGTTAAACCTGGAAAATTCAGGTAGGTAAAGCTATGAATGCATATTTCTTCTACTTTTGGAATGTACTAGATACCCGCCATCCCATCCAAGGTATGTCAAAAAAAAAAAAAATACTCGCAGCTTCCTAGTGAAGGGTATTCCTGCACATTAACTCCTTGCTCACTTTCCATGTTCAGTTATCCGTTACATTCACAGTGCATTCAGAATTTGAATCGGAGCTGAAGAATGCTGCTGAAAGAAGTCCTAATTTAAGATAGTTTCTCTCAGTTTGGAATGGCTGCAGTTTTTTAGCTTTTGGAACTATAAAGTTAGCACTCCCTTTCAAGTACATTTTAACTCTGCTTTTATCAGCATTACAAAAGGTCTCCTATAAAATGGAAGCTATTGAAAAGCCGCCTATTAGTCAAACAGGTGTTCTTTTGTGGATGCCCATGAAGAACTGCTAGTTCTGAGAGAAATCAATTTAGGATTCTCTTGTAAAATATTGCCTACTTGTGGTTTCTACAACTCAAAGTTCATTGCAGGAAAAGTTGCTTCTTAATTTGCACTTTAAAATACTTTGATCTTGCTGTAAATGGATTAAAAAAACCTAACTCATTCTTAGCATTTGGCAGAGATAGGGCTATATTTTGTCTGATACTTTTAAAGAGAGAACATATGGAATTGTAGACACTTTCCTGCGGGGGGGGGAGCCCCCCCACATGCCTTGGATTAACTAAAATAGCTTCTTTCCATATGTGTGTTTTTTCCCTTTCAGGTTTTTCATGACTGCTAGAATATAGGCTGTATATGTAAAAGAAAACCCAAGCTAAGCTTAGAGCTTTGAAAAAAGGCAGTAATAGTCTAAACATTAGAAAATGCTTACTTCAGTCTTTGAGGCGTTGGTCTACTTTGGATGGAAGGATGGATAGATAGATATATCTATCTATATAGATATACACTTTCTTGAATTTGTGTGGTAGAGTTGGTCTTAACTGAGTTATAGAATCTGTGTATTCATTTTTTTTTTTTAAATTTAAATGGAAGCAAAGCCATCTACGTTTTGAGTATTACTCAGAGGCACTGAGCACCGTCACCAGCTATTACAAAAGGGCCTTGTAACTGCACACATACAGTTCTTACAATCCTTTATATAACTTTCTACATACAAGTTACATCTTCATAGGCTTTATAAAATTAAACACAAGTTCAGTGAGAAATAGTGTGGAATAGAGGGTTTTATATGTAAAATTAAAGAGCCTGAAAAATAAGGAAATGAGGAGGGTTCCCTAGGTAGGCAGAGATGGAATGAGAGAAGCTTTCTCCAAGCTTATTTATCACGGACTTCCATCCTACCAGGTGATCACAACCCTCTCCTTTTTAAAAAAATCAATTATTTGTGCTAATCTGATTTTATTGTTTTGGGGTTTTTTTCTCTTAGATAATAAATACCAATATACAGAACAGAAGCCCTAAACCGGGGCCTGCTGCACATGAACAGGAACTGAGTTTTTTCTTAGAAACAGGACTCCAAAGAGCACATGTTTTGTATTTCAAGAATGGGTAAGATTTGACTTTGCACCTTTTTATCACTTAAAAATTAGAATATGATACTGACAGATACCTAATTTCTACTTTATTACTGTAGTAGAAATATGTTGGTTGAAAATATTTTATTTGACTAGCTATATAGCATACCTTATTCTATGCATCTTTTACTATTTTTACTTTAAAGTGAAAGTAGTACTAATTTAAATAAAATAATTGCAGTGTTTTCTTATTGATCATTATTAAATGTAGGAAGTTAAAAGAATGTGTGTAACTTCTCTATTTTGTGTTCAGGCTTCATTAATGCAAGTTATTAGAAAAGACTGAAAACAAATTGGTTTTACAACTTTTTTTCTAAATCTCTTCAGTTATCACTTATTTTAATATTATGCTGCAGGATTAATGTGCATGAAGACAAACAGTATGTATATATATCCTCTCTGTACCTACTCTGTAGATCCTTTTTTAGGTTGTGCATGGGAAATCATTTATAACTTTGTTTAAAAAAAAAAAAAACATTAGTCTAAAGGTAGATGTAGAAATACATACCAAAAATTGCAGAAAATGAAAAAAGGAATAAAACCCTGTATTTATTTTTAGCGCTTCAAAACTTGGCATATTGGGCTTTAAGTACATTTCTGGCATTTGTTGAAAATGTAATTTGTCAGCTAGTTTCCTGGGCTGATTTTTTTTTTTTTAATTTGTTTTTTATGAGAAAACATGCTCAGACTGAAATCCTGGTTCTATTGAACTTATTGAGAGTTTGACACAACAGGATAAGGGTAGGGTTTTCATCTAAAAGTCACTGGAATATTGTTCAAATGAAAGTAAACAACACCATTGGGAATGAGGAGTTATGCAGTGTCTGTAAAGAGTTACAGCTTTTGATCCAAGTCATGCTGGTTGACTTGCAAAGGCTCAAAGCTCTAAAACTATAGGATGACTTCAGCATGGAAATTGTCAGAGTTTTAGAAGTTTCATTCTTAACATATTGAAGCAGTGCCCCAAATAATAGAAATTTGGAAACCATGTTTTGTGGGTTTTTTTATCACTAAATTGTGGGGAAGAATGGAACATTCTAGAAGCTCCATTTTTTTTTTTCATTTACCACCATTGGAAAAATACTGATGGGTTTCCTTCCTGCATGACCTACAGCACAAATATAAAATGACTAGTAATGGGAATTAGAGAAAAAATAGGTACAGGGTCTACAGTTCTGAAAAGTTGAATAATAGGGATTGAAATACTGAATGAAATCATCCTCTCTCTGGGTAGAAAATCTTTCTTAGTCCTTATCAGTTAATGTCTGGCACATGCTCTGGAGAAAGAGGTTTTTGTCCCTTAAATATGTTAGTATAATGTTTTTAGGCTGCATACATCTGTGGTCACTCTTTTGAGATTAAATTCCGGGCGTCAGTGGTCAGGTCTTGTAGCATGCAAGCTGGGGAAGAAGGATAGCTTCAGTTGTAGGGTGTCAATCTCTCTAAGTTCTTCCGTTCACCTCCTTCATGACCTGAAGCAAATTATAGTCTCCCCTTGTAGGAAGCATGTGTATCAGATTCCACCAAATTAAAGGAATTACAGATTTCAAGTAACACTATTGATATCAACATTATGTGGGTGTGATGGATACACATAATAAACCTGTTGTTCATTCATTGTTAGGTACTTTTGCATACCTGTTTAAGAGTTGCTTTTGGTTTTGTTGGCTGTCTCACTTTTTGCATAGTGGGAGAACGTCCAAACAACTTTACCCAAGATGTTTCCACTAACAGTTTTGGTAAATTCATTTAAATTTCTATTTAAATCATTACTTTTCAAATTAGCTTTATGTGAATATCCCTATACTTACTCAAATAAAACAAGTTTTTTTTCCCCCAGGCTGGGGGGAGGGGGAAGAGGGGAAGTAGGTCCTCATTTTATATTTACGTATCAGCAACCCCTTCTCCCCCACATCAAATACATTATCTATCATTAAACTGCTGCTAGAAGCAACCTGTGCTCAGGCATGGAGCAAATGAAGCTGATTGAATGGAGCCCAAGCTCAGTTTGCCCATAATACACCTGGCCTATGTGGCAAACATACTGATGGGAACAGCGTACGTGCGTGCATGTGTGGCTGGCTGGCCAGCCGGCCAGCCTTTAAAAAAAACAAAAAATGGACAGTTTCTCCCCCAGGAAGGAACTGGCACTGGGCCTGGAAGTACTGCAATATCAGGCCAGCACGAGGAGGGCCAGTGCCAGCCCTGACACCCTCCCCTTGGTGCCAGAAATACTTGTTGGGGTCCTTTTATTGATTTATTGATATTTTTTTTTAAATGTTATTAAAACTTTTATCTTTTTACCAATGCTTCATAGCGCAGAAACAACTATATAGCTAGCTAGTTAGCTGTATGTTTTTTTTATATGAAACCCTTAAACAACATGCATCAACTTTCTACAAAAAACAAACCCTTACAGAAATCTTTTTCTTCATATACCACCCCATGAAAAAACTTACCTTAGTAATCACCTGAAGCTCTCAGCCCTTCTCATCAGTCTCTCTGGTTTAGTGAAAAAAGCACATCCAGTCCTTTTTCCTCCACTTCTTCTCCACCTCTTCCTCCCCAATCTCTTCCTTGTCCTGAATGATGTAGTATTTCAGCTCCACTGAAATTTCAGGCCCTCTTTCAGTGAAAGCCAACCCTTTTAAACACCCAGAGGTTTCTTCCTTTCCATAAACTAGTTTTAACATGTGTTTAAAAAAGTCCTTAATAATGTTTCCTCTGGTCCCTTTTGGTATGAATCCATATAGTACCATCTCCCATACTAATGACAGGTTTATTTTGGTGATATTCAGAAAGCGCTGGACCTTTCCCACACCCTATTTGTATATTTACACTCCCAAAACATGTCCCACTGCTGCTTCTTCCCCACACCTCTCTCTCGGTCATGTTGATGAGCTCCACCTTCGTTGCATTTCTCTCACTGGCAAAATATTACTTACAACAGTTCACCCGAGGTCAGCATGTTCACCTTTTAGTTGTTTACCTGTCACTACTTCCCACACCTTCTTTATTTCTCCTTCTGTGAAGTTTCTCACTGGCACCATCCTGTCTCTTTTCTTTACCTCTTTTATCAATTTGTTATGATCCCTCAGGACCTCCAGCGCTACCTTCCCTATTTTATAAATCTGCATGATTTTATAACACCCATGGATTTTTCAGAGAGGTCTGATATACTTCTTTGAGGTCCATTTCCTCAAAATTGCAGCTGCATGAAATTGGGTGATGCATACTGTTTTCCTCTCTCCCTCCATTACCACCTTACAAAGCACGCTTACATATTTTGAATAAATGAACATGCCCAAGTCTGGCAGCCACAGTCCCCGCCACCCCCCATCTCTCTTGCTTTGTATGGTTCAGCTCCAGCCAACCTTTCTCTTTTTGGCTTCCCAGAAAAATACATATTTCCCTTTGTACTTTTATTATCTGTTGCCATGTCTATGGGAATACAATTCCCATATATATATATATATATATATAATAATTGGCAGCAGCACAGCCTTAAATGCTTTTCCAGCAAAGGACAGTGTTAGGGGTGCGCCGATAGAGATTTTGGGGGCAGATAGCCAATATTTAAGGCGGCATATTGGCCAATGTTGATCTGATACAGTTGCCTCCAGGTGGTAAGTCCGTGTGGTGGAAGGGGCATGGGGGGGCAGATCAACGCCCCCCGTGGTGAGGGAGGGGGCAGGGGTAGGTGCTGCCTGGTGGTGGGGGGCATAGGATGGAGCCACGGTTTGTGGGGGGGGGGCAGCTGCTACTGCTGCTTGCACCCTGGGAGGGCAGGGGCTGGGGGGACGTGTGCCCCTGTATCTACATGGTGTGGACTAGGTGGCAGCTGCAGGGTGAAGCCAGAGCCAGGGCTGTGTGGAGCTTTTTTTGCTGGGGGCTGGGCTTGGAGCAGGCTCCGGCAGCACTGGAGGGAGGCTGCAGCCACCCCAAATTTCAGTGCAGCTCTGCTTCCAGCCCCGCACTGCTGCCTGCCGCAGCTTTCCCTGGCACTTGCATGGCGGTGTGCATTTAGCTGGGGTTGTGCCAGGTGGTGGGCGGCAGCATGTGGCTGGGAGCAGAACTGCGGTGAAATTTGGGGTGGCTGCAGCCTCCTCCCACTGCTGCTGGAGCCTGCTCTGAGCCCAGCCCCTGGTGAGAGGAGCCCTGTGCAGCGCTGGCTCCGCCTCCACCCTCCAGCTGGAGCCCACCCTGCACCATGCAGATTCAGGGGCACACGCCCCCTGACTCTCACCCTCCTGGGGTGCAAGCAGCAGCAGGAGCTGCCCACAAGCCACAGTTCTGTCCTGCGCCCCACTGCCCCTTCCCTTTCTCCTCCCCTTCTGACTTACCAACTGGAGGTAGCTCCCCTTTCTGCCAGCTTTGCTCTGTACTGCACTGCAGCTGCACACAGCACAGGCATTTATTAGCTACGTTATCAGCCCCATAGGGCTGATATCCATCATAGACAACTTTCTTCATATCAGTACCGATCCAATATCGAACAGAACCGGAGCACCTCTAGATAGTGTCCTTCTCGACAATAACCAGAGTATTTGCCATAGTCTTGCTGTCACCTTTTTCCACGCTGTATTACCTTTCCCTTTTGGAGTTCATCGGGATCCCTAGCGCTCTGACTCTCTTATTTGAAAGCCCAACTTCTCCAAGTCCCTCCAGTACCCCACTCCCATAATGGTGCTTTTTGACCTATTTAGTTTAGCCCCCGTTGCTTCTCTGTGCTCTGATGCATGCTTTAGCACCCTTTCCATTGAAAGTCCATCTCTAACTACTACATTTGCCATCTATGTATAGTACACTTTTTACCTCGCCCCCTTCTGGTATCTTTACTCTGCTTATGACCGTCTTTTCTTATTCTTTGTGCTAACTGTTCCATGCTGTGCACAAATAGTAGTGGTAACAGCGGGCACCTTTGTCTCACCACTGTGTGAAGCTTTAAGGCCCTGCTTAGGTGCCCATTAATTT